AYTRTKKTKYYTCTTTCAGTTTGTCAAWGAAGGAGTCCACTACTGCTCAAATATCACTTGGGTCATTATATTGGAAAAGAGTTCCTCAACTTCTTTCTGCTTGATTGAGGAATCTGTTCAAATGAATTCTTCTGTAGTTCCATTTCCAAACAACACTGATGCATCTTGCCCTGTACTAACCTTCTCCTTGTTTCCATAGACTGCTAGTAGACATTTGRTTGCTTTCTRCTGAAAATTATTGATATCCTTTGCTGTCAGTGGTACATGTGGCAGTAGGACAGAGTTCATTGGCATGCATACTAGTTGGGTTCACTTGAATCACAGAGAGAATGTCCCTCATTTCTTTCAAGTTGATGGTTGAGGATCTAGATCTGCATACAGCAACTCTGGTGTAACTGATAGTGYCCAATGGACAGGTGTGATGCAGATTCACATGGGTAATTTTCACTTGAAGAAGAATCCTTTGTTTGTTTGTACCTTTGATACCCAGGAAGGAGAATATCTAATTCCAAATAGGCAATTATACACAGGTAGTTAACACAGTTTTTGACCCTTTGTTGGATCTTCATGTGCTCTTCTTCTGCTTTGCCTGTAGTGGTACTRGACTGAATTGCCAGTACATGCAATCTTCACAGACCACTTGGAACAGAGTATTTTCATGGTTTGTTGGAATTGCYATGGAGAAGCAAACTTCTGTTGAATATAGAATCTCTTYATGGCCTCCTTGAACTTGGTCAAGTCTCTTTCATTGTTGTTATGCAAATCAATGTCACTACTGGTAGGGAAGAGAGACCAGACCTCATTAACCAGGCCTTCTACTACTAGTACTAGTACTAGTACTAGTATGACCCAATTCATTGATTTGTACTGATCCTCCAATTTCTGAATTTCCTTCTTCCTCCTGATTGCTTCATCTTCAATCAGGAAAGCTTGTTCAAACTCCTCCACCATGGTGGTTTCATGGAACTGAGGGAGCTCTTTTGCAAACTACTACTAATACTAGTTGTTGTATTCTATTGTCCTCTATTGTCCTCTACTAGTACTACTAGTACTAGCTATTGTTACAGTCTCACCAGTATCAGCTGTGCACTGTTCACAGGTGGAAGGTGTTTCTATTTCCCTATTTTTCTTTCCATGTCAGAAAGAAATGGTGCAAAATTTCCAGAAAAACTCATGCACAGGTACTAGTAGTACTACTAGTAGTACTAGTCAYGGTGGTGGTGCGGCTGGTTCTTCTTGACCGGCGGCAGGTTCAGTTTGCCAGCATTCTCAGCAGTGCCAGAATTTTTCAGAAGTTGAATGACAAATATCACATCAGGGGTTTTATTTATAAAAATGAGCTAAAAAAATCTACTTGCATTTGTATGGGAATTGCCAACAACATGCCAGCAAGGGTTGCCGGCAACCCTTGCCKGCAAGGGACCCATACTTACTACTATTAATAGCTTTCTTACRTATGACCCCAAGCAGTACCGTAGGACTGTACACTCAAATACAACTATCTGCAAGGAACGTCTGACGTCTACCGTATGAAAAAGAATATTCTGTCCGATCTCTTTTCTTTCGAAATTCTGTTGACACTACAACGTACTGGTACGTACTGTTGGTAGCGTACAATAGTCGGACTCGCGATGATGCGATCCTCATGCTTCACGTGGTAGAAGTCGTACCGTTCCTGACCCCAATGTTCTGTSCAGAGTAATCTACGTATGTATGATAGTACGGTACCTCGTACCTCGAAACGGAAGACATCGTCGTCAGCATGTTCTGTTCGCTTTCGAACTACGTGGTAATTGTCCAAGCACATGTAGCATGATCATCAGCTACAGGTACCGGTAGCGGAGGCCACACCATACCAAACGCAAAAAGTACAGTACGAGCGTATGCTATGTACGTAGCGTTCAGAGATAAATACTTCGTAGCACAAAGTACTTTTTTTATGACATTTTCTACCGTACATGTACGTACTACTGTAATAGTACGATTCATGAAAGATTCGACGAAAAATCTTTTTCTCGTTTTCGCACGGTTTCTGCAACRCGGCATCATTATTTTTGTAACGCTAGGATTTCCTTCCTGTATTGAATAGCACTTCTGCTGCGTCACGGACRAGACTATTGCCACAACTTCTTCAGTCTGAACAATTTTTACTTCACAATATCAATAATTTCAATACTTCAAGAGCTATATTCAACACCATCATGAGCTCAGATCGCCCTACTGGATGCTGCCACAAGGCCTGTGGATTGTGTTGTGCCTACATCATTCCACCTGTTGGAGTCTTTTGGCAATACGGATGTTCGTGCGAATTTCTCCTGTCAATAATTCTCACCATTTGCGGATACGTCCCTGGCGTCATTTACGCCTGCTGCGTTATTGCTWCGGATAAGGGTGAAAATTAGTCATGTCACATTGTGAGGAACTGTTGCATGGAAATAGGTTGATGTGATTTGATGCGTTTGATGCCTTGGGATGCCTGTCGAAGCTATGTGTGTATAAAACTTGGAATTCGATACTTGTAACAGATTAGTAAGAGGCTATGAATGAATGAATCAGTTGATCAAAGTCAATCATCGGGTTTCACTTTCCTGTCCTTTCGCTGAAAATAAATTGSATATGATGTGAAGTATCGAAACTCATTTCGAAGAAATCACTACAGTAGTATATATGAAACAAATAATAGCAGTTAAACCATTATTATCGAAAATGTATCTTGGAAAAATCCGAAGAAACAATGATGTTTAGATATTACAAATACGAGTCACGTAGTATCTGCGTTGTGTTATTTTGTTGGGGCAAGAAGCACAATTGCGGTGCTTCACATCSAGAACACSAATATGACAATCGTCGAACATTACGATGACAAAAAATACTTCGGAATGGTGTCTCAATCACAACTTTCCACATTACGATAGTCGGATGGACACAAATTGTCGGAAATCCTGGTAAATATTTGTGCGCATWTGCTTGTACGAGAMCAATTGCACGGCAGACGCCTCGAGACGTTGAAGTCGTCAGTGGTGCAAATTTGGATCGAATGTATCCCTTACAATCATTCCAAAGGTTCAATCGTACAAAATCATCCACCTTGAAGTGAACCCCCGCAATGGTAACGGCATWTGCCACACCATAATCCATCCGAAGAATCTCACAGCATTGGTCGGGTAGCCGATCAGTCACAACGAGCACATACTGCCCCACAGAGTGCATAACGGGCCATGATGGAAGCGTTCGGAAATCCTCCGTGTTGTATGCAGAAAAACGGTCGTGGATGTAATCGACGTTATGAAGTCTTTGGAGGAGTCATCTTTTTTAGGTGAAATCGCCATTCAAAATCAGCCAGGCACATCTCTCCGTGCGCGTGGTTCCTATATCCCACTTCAACAGAAGGGACACGCTACAAATTTTATGTACACTCTTCAGTGTCGTATGAATACGTGTTTAAAGAAAAGATTTAAAGAAAAGATTGAGGGAATGTTTATTCCTTACTCACAATCTACTTGTTATTTAGCCTCTCACACACTGCACCGATGGTCTCAACAGCCCATGTGTTGATCACAGCGATAGGAGCTTCGGTCTTGATATCACTATCTGGGTTTCAACAGGGCTCATGTCGTGGTCTATTTTGACTTTCTATTCGATGCCCTCTTCGTTGAGATTCTCCAAGAGAATCCGTTGGTCGGAGGCCAACTATTACCCGTGAACAATACAGGCAGTGTCCTCCTCCACCCAATGATTTGCAGCTTCTGGCATTGGCCTTCTTCGCGGCGACCATTCTGGGGTTGAAMGATGTCCCAAAAGAAGTTCCAAWAGATATCCTTCAACGGCGACTTGAKCTTCGAGTAGTAGTAGGAGCAGTCGCACCATAGAGCTGGAAATTGCCAGCCTTCACRACGTAGTTAGCTATGATTCGGGCCTGGACGCCATTTATTTGGTTGTCTATCCTGTCTCGTATAGACAAGTACCATAGACCAAKTTTGATCCCTCCTTGGATCCCTTCAACTTCAACAGCTCCATCAAGGTCCAGCTGTCTTCTCTGGTGTCAGCTCTGGCTCCACCTCGGTTCAACAGCTGTATGTATCTTTGCTATAAGGTCCTAATCTTAGACATTCAAGTTATCCGGCCATCCAATCTAGTGAGTCCAATCCTTGAATCTGTGGCTTGCCCTGCTTGTAGTCCTTAGTTTCTGGGATAAGTCACACCACAGACCATTTGTTTCAACAGTCGCCTATACTGCACAAATCATCATCGTCACCTACCCACCAACAATCATCATTAGTATGAAAGGGATAGATGGAAGCAGTCTTTCTCGGATTCAACTGGTGACCAACTGAGCTGAGTGTCTATCTATATTTAACTATTTAAGTATGTAGTATTGTGTGTCCGATGTGCTATGAAATGTATGCACACTCTTCAGTGCCGTACCGTCATTTATGTTTACAAGAAAAAGGAAATCTAATTGCGATCATTTTGCGACGGTAGTAGTAGCAGTATCACTCTCACACGTCGTCTAAAAGAAGGATTTTGGATTTTGTCAATATCTTTGTTGTTCGGCGTACTACGGCTACGTTTCTACCTGTTACCTACAGTAGTACTGTAGTACGGTAAATTTTGGTTCAAGGAGTAAACTGATTCGCTATTTATGCTTTCACAAACGATTATCATAATAATCGCAATGCCACAGGATAGCGACATATGATAAACACCTTTTGTTTGTAGTCAAGTCTTCCACAAGAACCAAAATTGCATCAAAACAATGGCAGGCAGCAACAGATATACGGACGAGCTCCGGGCAAAAGCGGGCAATCAATGGGAACGCGTTATCCACCACAAATTCACTAAGGAACTCGCCAACGGAACGATTGATAAAGGCCGCGTCCTCAAGCGTTATTTGGTACAGGACCACCGCTTTCTGGACTCATTTGTCATCCTTCTAGCATCTATCGTAGCTCATCTTCCAACCCTGAAAGATCGGATCCCGGGATGCCAATTCCTAGCGGTTATCACCGGGCCTGAAAACACATACTTTGAGAGGTCCTTCGAAAAGCTGGGAGTTTCTGGGAAAGAACGCAACTCTATCCCTGATGCTGAAGTGACCAAGAGTTTCTGCCAACTCATGCGGAGCGCCGCAGCCAGCCAAAATCTCGAAGAAATGCTGGCCGTTATCGTCGTCTGCGAGTGGTCGTATCTCTCATGGGGTCAGGCCGTCCTGGAGGAACACAAGGACGACGGAATCTGCCGTAAGGATTTYGTCACGTGTRAATGGGTCGATCTACACACGGGACCGGCATTTGAGGGCGTAATACAGTACTTGAGGGAACTTCTGGACCAAGAGGGGGAGAAGCTCAAGTCCCAGGGCGCGACGGAAAAGCTTGCGGCATGCGAACAGCGTTTCCTGGAAGCGGTCCAGCTCGAAGAAGACTTTTTTGACTACGCCTACAGGGAAGATTGAGTTTAAGCAAACCGGCTCGGCTTGGCAAACAYAGTAGTTGTAGCTCGACCAAAAGTTTCGAAGTTGCCKTATGGAAGAAACGAGATGAACGTTTGTTTTTCGTTTTGCATCGTAGGCAGGGAAATTAATGCACACAATAGAAAAGCTGGTAGACACAACGCGGAGATTGCGATCGACTAGAGCACAATTTCGTATTGGAAACTAGTCATTGTCCTCTTTCAAGTCCACTCTTTTCCATAGCATTCTACAATCCTGGTCGGTCTYGTATCCTAGAAATTAGTCATTGAACGACTATGAACTCAATTCTTTCTAGAAGGCCWATTTAGCAGCTATTCGCAATAATGTTACGTACCAGACTATGCACAAGACGATGAAAATGAAAGGCTTCTGAGAACAWAAATGGAATGAAAATATGCTCAATCGTTGAGCATGAAAGGAGCAAAGCAACATTTTCGGTGGGTATGTAGGTTGCGCTGCCCGAGGCCTTTATTTACTATAGTAGCCACAACAATGCTCGTGTTCGCGCCACCCACTATTGTGTTGTTCCGATGACAACCCGCAGCATCCAAGGGAAGAATCACCCTCGTGTGCGTCTKGCGTCAATTCACTTTTATCCGGCTCGATTCGATTTTGCAGAAAAGACATATTCACGTCCACGGGTCGAAGTTCATTCTTTGTGTCAATTTAGGAAGCAACAAATGTACCTGGGACTCACTTGGTCTATCAGTCCATCGATGAATCGGAATCGTCATCRCTATCGTCTTCCATAAACAAAGCCTCCTCTAGCTTTCGCAGCGCGGATCCCTTTTCTTCCTTGGAGGGGCGTTCGCGCTGGGAAAGAGAAATTGTCTTCCTCTTCCGAACGATCGGTTTCGAAGTTCTCGTTCGCGAACCTGTCACATCTTCGTCATTTCCATTCGAACCGGAACCTTGGTCGTCGTCGCTGTGGGCAATGGTTTGCACTATTTCTGTGTCTCCTTTCGCGTATAGCACCTGGCTTTCCCCGGAAGCCCTTTTTGGTGCTGCTATTGCCGACGGTGGCCTCTCGTTCGCATAGTTTGCTGTTGTTTCTTCGTTCTCGGTGTCTTCGTCACCGACGCTTTCTACCGCGAGAGCCCGCACCAAGATATCCGCATCGTGCTCGAGATTTTGCAAGAGCTCCAACAGGTGCTCTTCGCGCTTTGCCAGCGAGTCGTAGTCCCTGGCCAAATCGGAGAGGCGAGTCAATAATTTGTCGGTTGACATTGTTGCGGGAGCGACAGGATTAGTGTCGGCGGCCGTGTTTGCATCGGTACCGATGATTCCGGTAGCCTTGGAAGTCACCGAATCATTCTTTTTCGGACCCCTTGGTTCGCTTGGGTTGGTTGTTKGGAGTGTTTGTGGTCTCTCGTCGCCAGTGGTCGCAACGGCCTCCCGGATGCGGTTGGCGATCGATTCCAACGCTGCTCTTTGGGGACTACCATGAAGAGTTGTTATCGCAGTTGCATCGGATTCGGATCCGATGCTACCACTACCGGTGCCTTTTCTACTTGAGTCGCTGCGCGTGTCTACGGCATCGTCCCGCAACGCTTCGACGCACACGTAAAAGGCCGCGAGGACCGACGCCGCGTAGGATGGGGTCCAACACTTATCTCGCTGCCGCGCTGTGGGTCCCGTGCGATTCAGATCCGAGACGATCTCCCTCAGCTTTTTCTCCGCAGCGATCGTTGTCGGTTTCGTTGCGTGTTCGTGTTCACCACCACCGACCACCTCAACGAGTGTGTCTTTGATCCTGGACAGGAGTTCTTTCTTTTCCTTCGAAGCCAACGGTGCTCTCTTTGCGAGAATGGCCCGGACTTGTTCGTATCGCGGATCATTATCGACGGCGAAGGACGGAGTTTTGGTTTTTGCTTCTGCTGATGACTTTGTTTTGGTTGCTGTATCAACGTGTTGGTCCCTCATGACTGTCTTGGTATCTTTCAAGAATTATTTCGATCCACGCACTCTCACTCACATTAGAAAAGTCAGCAAGCAGCAGGACCGGGTACGTAGAGGAACAGTTACCCTTGGATCGTCGGTTGAGTGCGTCGTATCTAAAGTGCTCAACAGCGCCGTTTGACTCTGGTTTTGGTTCATATCGCGCTTTGCCATGGTCGGTTGAGATGACGAGCGTCGCATCTGTCACACCATTGTAGGAATGTTGTGATGTTCTTCAACTTTCGCTGTTCCATGCTAACTTTACAAACGGGCCACTACAGTGTCGTATTTCAACATAGGGCAAGCGTACGACTTTTTGCTTGGTCTTCGCCGGATTTTGATTTATTGAAGGCCGTCTTAAAAATAAAAAATAATAGTAAAAACCTCATTCCAGCACGGACCGTACCGGTACGTATCAGAAGGAATGGTAGTACCGTAGCATCCCAYTCTGTGCTCGTAGCGTATGCTGCTTGCTGCTACACGTAAGGAATCAGAAGTGCGGTAGGTAGGTACCACAACGAGTCTCGTACGAGTACTTACCGTATTGTACGTACGATAGACTACGTACTTCTTTACAAACATGATGTGTGAGTGAGATTCAGTGGTGTTATTCGCTCGCTCTTGTTCATTTTGATTCCCATACCGTACCACTCTGAGATACTGTAACATTGTTTTTTGATATGCCTCTTGAGAAATACGGTATGCAATCTCACGCTTTTGGATCAAATTTCAAGCATTGACAATTTAATTTTCCAACATTCCTTCGCCCCTTGCATGTTTGTGATGGCTTTAGTGTCATCGCGTGGATGATCAAAACTTGATCTGATCAAGTGAGAGCTCAACATGGTCAGAATATTCTCACACTCTCACAAACTCGAACCGCAAAACTTCGCAAGATATCACAGAAAAGAAGACGAACGACACATAGAAAAAACAACATTCAGAACATAAGAGCACCGTCGTTGAAAATGAGTACAGGCATCTTAGTACACAACTCGAAGATAAACACGAACCACGGCCACGGCCACGGCAGTAAGAAAACAATAATCATTCCAGAAACGAAGAAAAAAGTTGTGTTTCAGAAGCAGATTCGGATTCGCATCGTTGCGAACCTAAAAAAAGATCTTACCCCTCGTTACCGGAGGTCCTTGTGGTACAGCGAAGCCGAATTATGGAGCATGAGGCAAGAACTTAAATACGAAATACTTAAAAAGCGTGCAGAAAAGATTCGACGATTGCAGGGACAGAACTATGCTCGAACTGGAACAACGAGACGGAGAATAAATCCAAACCGTCGACGCCCACGCTATCACGAAGAACAATTTGAACATTCTCTCTACCAACAAAAAAGTCCATCGAAGTTGTATAAATGCAAGTACGATGAGCTAAAAGAAAGCTTCAGGAATAAACCATCAGGATGGATAAACTGGATATAATGACTCGAGCACCACTCTTCTTCTGTGCCGGTGGCATGGCGTGACTCACTGCAGTACATCCGAACACTGAARGGAAGCAAATGATTTCCGGAGAGTTGACCTTACTATCGTCAAGTCGCGATTCTATTTTCCATCAATGGACGACACTAAGATCGAACAGCAGGGTTTCGCAATGAAGCAAAGTCTTTAGATTGGATTCAAAAGTCATCGATATCTTCTCCGATCACGATTAGTTTCATCACGCTTGGAAGTATCGTTCAGAATGAATCCTTAAGATGCATATTCTTGTTTTCTGAAACTGCCATGAATTTTGATATCAAGTACAGTAATGTAGTGTGGAAGATTGTTATTTCTGTATGTCCATTCATATCTATGACACCAACATAACGCTAGTAGTAGGTTATAGAACCAAAAAAGATCAAGTTCCTTAGAATCAGGTACTGCTGTTGTTCTTTGATTGGTTGAGGTTTGGTTGTCAAGCACAATTTTGTTTGTTTTATAATGAGTAAAAGCGTCACACTCTCTTAATTCTTGGATATGAATCTCAAATTAAAAAAACAAAAAATACATATCCGATTCTGATCAGTTTTGCTGTCTGACGTTTGGTCTGGTCCCAAAGCTGTTGTTGGGGTGACACAAATTCCGACTCAAATAAAAATCAGAAGAACTATTTTCATATTGCAGTACTTAAGGAATTAATAATATGAAATAATATGCCTAGAAGGTGGTACGTGATACGTACCGTTAGAGCGAACAACGGTTTTTTTTGTCGGAGCAATGTTASCATATGCAGTGTAACGCTAAAGATGGAATCTAACTCACTTCGCAACACGACCGAAGGACCTTCCGTACCGRCCGGTATGTGGACAAAATAAAAAAATAGTATGCAGCATTTTCCTAAAGAGACCAAACCACCAAAAAGTAGAATCGCAGACATTAAATAAACTAGACAAAAATTTCCTTAAGGGTTCTCTCCAGTGCAGCATGCTCACCTTGGAATGTTCTTCTCAAATGAATGCGGCTCTGGAAATAAGCTCTTATTGAAAGGTATATACAAGATTATTGTCATGCAGTCTTAAGACCAGACGTGCGTGCAATTTGGATGGAACACATGTTTCATGCAGTAAAACTACGCAAACTTCAGTAGGACCGCCGAACAAGTTTTGTCAATTTGAACACTGCGGTGTTCAAACGAACCTGTTCCACCAGACAATTTTTGTAAGAAAGTTGCGGCAGACAACGCAAAAACTCTCATAAATATTCATTATCGAATAGAAACGAATCGAAACAAATTGATGAAATGAAAACAAAACATAATATTACACCATACGACACCGCACAGCAAAAGAGATATTGAATAATGGGCATGAAAGTATCGAAAGAAAGATGGCCCAAGAAGGGAGACATGAAAGGAAATGCGATGAATTGTGTTTCCGAAGATGCAGGTTCTTCCACCATCACATTACAGGTTACGAACTGTAGCCAATCTTCTTCAAGATCCATTCCCGATATATCGCCGTCAATAAAAGAGCCTTCGATAGCGTGTTCGAAGCCAAAAGATCAATTGGAACCGGAGAGGCGAGAGAGACAAAAACAGCGACGGCAGCGCAGGAAGGAACGGCGGAAAACCCGTGAGAAACACATTGCGATCAAAACAATGCATAAAGAACGTCTGCGATTGCGCGATGGGAGCCATCCAGACCTTCCCGGAATCCATCACCGCAACCGCAAACGACGAGTTAAAGAAGATGTATGCATTATTTGCCTCGAGGGTAATGCCGACGGAAAGCCTGTCGAAATGTTTTCCGCTTGCTGCGGCCAGGCGTACCACGTGGGCTGTTATATTCGACAATTGTCGTATGACAGCCTGAACAAGGAATCGTCCCGCGAGTGCGGCGTCTGTCGAATGGCCATGCCCAGACTCGAAGAAGATGGAATGTATATAAAATCCTATACGATGAGAGGAGTCTCTACCCTGCGAGCGCACAGAGGGAAACGAGAACTGCGGCAACGAACCTTTCTCCACTCGAATGATATTTGTTATAATATCAGTCGGGAGGACGACGAAATCGAAGACGATGATTACGAGTATGAGGACAGCCATGAAAGCGACTCGACGATGGACTCTTCATCGAGCAACCACGAGTTAAGCTTGTATCTATTTACTGAATCTTAACAGTAACAAATTTTGAGTTTTTGAGAACGAATACGTCTTGAATAGTGCTACTAATACAGGTTTAGACAATTTCAAACACCATATGAAAAGGTGTTCAATGCCTTGCATCATGACAACACGAAATGAAGAGATGGAATCAGGCGTACCTGTGATCCATCACAAATCTTGGCACTCTCGCACATGGTTCCGCCGTCGGAATTTTCATTGTTCCGCAAGATTATTTTCCAGAAAAAGGATAGGAAAGTCGACTAGCGATCGAAAGTCTCAACATCATACCGCACATAGTATCTACCACAGCCATTCACATCTTCTTTTGTCTTACATCTGAAGCTCTTCTTTGCCATGAAATTGCCAACTCGGAAGGTCTCCTGTAGCACTTTTTGCATGCGTGACCCGTGGGTTCGGTTCATCCTTACATGTTGGCATTCAACAGACAATGAACTTGAATGAGTGCACAAAATCATTATTTTTTGTCTAGTACTGTACCTGTAAATATAAATACAAATAAAAATAACGATACCAAGAATAATAGTATTATTGGCGTTCATCACGGTTCATTTAAAAAATGAGACGAAACTTGTCACGTACGAGTACTACGTACCGGGAGTACTGACACATTCATACTTTGAATATGTTCTATGCCAGATGTAATGAGAAAGCAGAAGGCAGAAACGCGCTAACTTTAGTCGAGTCGCGAAGTCGCAACAGCAACGGAAACCTGCAGCTCATTATCCATTATCGCACTATGTACCATTTCGTACGTATGTATCGTACCGTACGATATGAACACGGACGAAAGTACAGCACTACGAAGTAGGTTGGGTACAGTACGTACATAATACTGCTGTACAGTATCGTTACAGTAAATTATTTACATGTGGAACCAGATAAGAATACGTACGGTACTGGTACCAAATTTTTGCAACCGATATTGCAAAACGGTCGAAGGAGTCTATCGGTACTTAAAATACGTAGGATTTTACGTAGGCTATAACACGTCACTTAGCCCCACTCCATTTACCACCGTACTTACATGAGCTACATGAATTCTGGTAGGGATTCTACACAGCAACCGTATCAGCTTTTCTGCTGTGGTCGCATCCGTACCTCTTTGGGTTGCTTAAGACAGAGCAAATTACACTGAGTATGCAACAATTTTGCAACGCAACTCCCTCCCCCCGGCGGTGACTCACGAGAGGTGCATTTTTTGCTCACAAAATAAATCGAGTATCGCATACGAGTACGTATCGGTTCAAGCAAAACCCCAAGCAAGAAGACAAGCAAATACTAACTATCGAAAAACAGCAGCAGGCACAACAGCAGTATCAACAAGAAGAACACTACTAGTACTAAGTATCGAAAAACACACAGCCAGCTGTGCAGTATTGTAGCCCCCGTTCTTGCTGCTGACTCACCACGACGCGTTGCGAGAGGTGCTTACGAGTACGCGTCACCTACGAGTATCGCATACGATACAGGTTCAAGCAAAACCCCAACCAAGAAGCCCTGACTCGCATTGCTGCTTTTTTGCTCACAAAATAGCAGTTGCTTGCTCGCATCCTCCTAGTAGTACTAGTACTACTAGTACGAGTAGTACGAGTACAAGCAAAACCCCAAAAAATACGAGCAGTCGCATACGAGCAGTCGCATATGAGGAGCAGTACAAGCAGTCGCATACAAGCAGTGGTGAGCAGTAGTACTGAGTATGGCAAGAACACGGACAGCAAGAAGAAGAACAACAAGACGACTGGCTAGGAAAAGAAGGGGGGGAACTGTGACGCCTCCACGTGATGTGAACCAGCCAGGGCAATGGGGGAGATATCATAAGGTTCTGCTTGAGTTAATGGATCATGTACATGGAAGATTGGATGAAGGAGGAGACAATGGGGATAATCGATTTCCAAATGATACTATATTCACGGATGAGCAGTTGAGTATTCTAACGCCGGATCATATTTACAAGTTCTTTGCAAAGAAAGCTTTTGGTCGGGAGGATCCTGGTGTCGATGATAATCCTACTAATGGTAGATCCACTTCTTTAATCTACTACAAGAAGGCCATATCATACTTCATGCCAAACAAGATGCACAAATGGACAGTTGTTGCCGGCGTTGGAAGTGGGAATCCTACCAAGTCACAGAAAGTTAATGACCTTATTGCGGCTGTTGTCAAGAAGGAAACTAGAGGACTTGGACAAGCGAGCAGCATGGATAGGCCTCTTACAAAGGATGAGTTTTTGCAAGCAATAGAACTGATGTCGAATCATGGTTCCATTACCAATCGWCTGAGGTTCCTTGCAATGCTTAAGTTCCAGGTCCACTTGATAGGTCGTAATGATGATATGGCTCACGTGGGGAAAGACAGCTTGGAAAGATCAACTGAATTCCCCCAGTTCCTTACAGCAAAGATGAAGTGGTCTAAGAATGTAAGGGAGGAACGCGATTGCCCAAAGCAAATCTTGCTTGGTTCCATGGACCATCGAACTTGTGTTGTGCTAGCACTTGCTTTATTTCTTGAAAAGTGGTGCAAAGATGGTGGAGGTGCAGCAGGCCAATGGCTGTTCACTGAAGGAGTAACAGACAGGAGATCTCAAACAAGGGATATTGAGAAAGAGATTACCAAAGGAAAGGCTGCTTACGCTCGATTCATCAAGCGCTATGTGTTTGATAATGAAGCCTTTGTTCCTGAAAGACCAGATGCAGACGGCAAGCTGGGGACTCATTCCTTCAGGAAGTTTTCAACAACTTTTGCAAGACAGTCTGGGGGATGCAGGGACAATGTTGATTACAGGGCGCGTTGGAAGTCTCGACGCCAGCAAGATAGGTACACTGACACTCAGCTTGCCTGGCCTGATATCGACATTGCATCGAAGCTTTGCTTTGGAGGAGTTTGTCTTTACAAGCCTGAAAGGACCGGCATCACGGATGAGTGGCTTGCTTCTTCAGTTGCGCCTAATATTGCCAATGTGTTTGGTAATCAAGTGGCAGCGATTCTAGGAAAGGCCTTGCTTTGGGCTTGTTGCGATCCGGCAATGCAAGCTTCTGGCTTGATTCCTGAGGATGTAAAGAGGGACGTCGTTGGTTCCTGGATTCAATTGAATTATAGTCTTCCAGTTGCTGAAAGGTTGGATGGTGATGTGAATCCTATCAAGCGTGTTGAGCTGGTTGCTAATGAATTCAGTGGGCAAGTTCACTTCGATGAGCTTGCAGATCCGGATGATCTTGGAGGAGGGGGAGCTGCTGGAGGGACTGCTCGTCTCGGAATTCGTAGGACTCAGTTGCAGTGGAACCATGCAATGTTTTCAAAGCTATTTGCCACAGCTAATGAAGTGAATGAGATCAAGAATCGACAGATTGCAAGTGAAGCAAGGTTCAATCAGAAGCTTAATAGAGCCATCGAGTTGTCCCAAAGAGCTGCAATGGCACCAGTCGTAAGAAGGAGGCCCCGGGCCCCCCCTCGTGCATTGAACAGTGGCGCGTCGGAGACTGGCAGCAATGCTCAGCTGACAAAGTGTCCTCACGACCTGTATGTCCTGTGGAATGAATGGGAAGTGGGCGTTGGTCTCAATAAGCCTGCCAAGGAGTTCACTGCTGCTGAGCGTGGTCGTGTGAAGAGCAAGTACTCCAGGAGGATGAAGTTCTGGAGGTGCATGGAAAGACTCATCAGGGCTGGTTGTTCTTCTGAGGTTGCTGTTCGAAGGATCTATGCAGTGTATGGTCCAACCAAGAGAGTGTCTTACATCCTTAAAGCTATGGGCCCCCATGAAGCCAATGGGGGTCACCACATGCTGCGCGGACCCACTGTTGGTGCTGCTTCTTAATCATCGTCGTCGGCGACGTCGACGCTTTGTTCTGTTCTTTGTTGCGTGTCTTGTTCTTTCCTTACTACTTGTCCCCCCTCTTACATCGAAAAAAACATAAAAATATAGTGTACTGTGTATATGTGAACTGTAGTACTGTATTTTGCTATCCTCACTAAGAGGACCATCTTGTTAGCTGACAGGAGTGTTGGTATCGGTGTTGTCGTTATCGACGTGATTGTCGAGAATTACTCTCCCGACTTGGTTTTTTTCCATAGAATTTGCCTTGTGGGTGATCGTGTGAGTACATCTCATCAAACACGCTGATACTCCTGCACTGCAGTCTTGTCGCGCACTGTCTATAAGACCTAGTAGTCTTATGTACTGTGTTCTACACGGTTGCATTTTTAGTTGATATTTTGTTTGGTACTTGCCTGGTACTCGTACATACAGTAAATACAAAAAATATGATACCAGGATCAATTCCACAAGAAGATGATGAATTGTGCTCGCTCCKGTACTTATGTACGGTGCATACATACGGTACCGTACTCGTACGCGAAAAATTCTGATTTGAGTGAAAACATCATTTTTGACGCACTCGTATCGTACGGTACGTCCGTAACGGTAGAGCAGTCTTAGAAATAATGTGGGCACGAACCCAATGCGTCACGAAGAACAATAGCAATGACAAGGCGAACCCTCATATTCGAGAAGAAAGTGGTTCGAAAGTGCCAATTTCATTTCATTTATCGTCCGATACCAGCCTTCTGCTCGACAGACATACCGGCACCATCGCAAATCATAAAAACGAATGAACGAAGTAAAAGTATCTATCTTAAATCTTGAACATCGGTCTTGCTGCTGGAAGATACACCAAGGTTGCAATTGCACGAAAAACCCGAGCAAGAAGTACGTATGGTATTGTACGATATGGTATGGGAGGGAGGTAAAAGTAATGGTGTTATCAGAAGTTCAAAAGTCTACCGTACACCGTACCTGATTCCTCTATATCTCTACATCAATCATAATCATAATATTATAATACAGTATCATCACCGGTAGAGTAATACCTCTTTTCATCCCAAAACAACAACCATGTCGTCCTTTTCTTCTCCAACAGCTACCGTCCCCATGGGCGGGTCTGATGGCGGCAAGATCTCCTCTTCTTCTTCACAGACTACGGAAGCAGCCGTCATTCCGCTCCCTCTGCGCATGGTGCTCGGCGCACTTTCGGGAATGGGAGCTGCCTCTGCCTGCCATCCCCTTGATGTAGTCCGAGTTCGACTTCAGACAACGGGAGGGAGCGAACATGGCGTTCTCCGAACAACCCTTTTGGCGTACCAGCAGGGTTCGTTGTATAATGGAATCGGTGCCGCCTATCTGCGGCAGTGGACCTATGGCTCCTGCCGAATGGGAATCTATTCCTATTTGTTGGAACGCACGAAAGCGAAGCATGGAGGGAGCGCCGAAAATGTTCCCTTTGCATCTAAGCTTGGCATGGGGATGATATCGGGGGGAATAGGTTCCTTCGTAGGAACGCCTTCGGAACTGGCTCTGGTGAGGTTGACAAACGATGGTAAGCTCCCCGAAGCGGAACGACGAAATTACAAGGGTGTGTTGGATTGTCTCCGTCGCATCGCCCTCGAAGAAGGTGGTCTTAGTGCTTGGTGGACGGGGGCGACGCCAACCATCCTCCGGGCCACCGTATTGAGCGCCTGTTTGATGGGAGGGACCAGCCAGGCCAAGGGATTTTTGAAATCGACCGGGAGATTTGAAAAACAGCAGCAGGACCAAAACACAGGTGACCATAAGGGTGACTGGCTCGGTGGAGTCCCCCTCCTGTTTTGCTCCACTCTCATCAGCTCCTTCTGCGCCAACATTGTCGCTAATCCATTCGATGTCGTGAAATCGAGGATGCAGAACATGCCCCAACCCACAGCGCCCGGAATCGAACCTCTTTACAGAGGTAGCCTGGATTGCCTTCAAAAGAGTATCGCATCCGAGGGCATCATGGTCCTAAGCAGCGGATTTTTACCGGCTTTTGTCAAGCTAGCACCCTATACGGTAATTTCCTTGACGCTTGTGGACAAGATGACCAAAGCAATTACGGGCAAGGATGCTCTTTAAGGGAGTGTGTGCACTCCAGTCTATTACCTTTCGGAKACCAACATTGAAAGAAATTGTTGTACAAGCATAAGCGACGTGATGCACGAAAGAATGAACCGCGAAGACCATTATCATCTTTGTTCGCCTAGTCTCTCYGGAGTCGGATGGGTAGTGCAACCTARTCCATTTACATCTAGGGGTGCAAACCCAGTACCTACTTCTACAATTWATAAGTGGTAGAAATGTGAAATGTAAATATATCTTAGGAGGGTAAAATACAGAGTATTGAATRCATAGTAGTGTCTTTTCACTATAGTGAAAGAACAAKTMGTATTGATTTCGAACGTAATATTTGGTTGTGATGGATCCCCATCGTCTYCAATMMGAACCCTTGTGTACGATTGMAGTCAAGTTCAATTTTTCGATCGAAATGGATCRATCGCAATCTTTTTCGTTTTTCTGATCCCCCGAAGACACATATGCGATTTGAGAGATCGGAGTTTTGATKGTKTYGGGCTTATCGAGTGCTCCTGGCCTTTTGATTCTTTCGTGTTTTCCTTGTCCTTTTGATCCGTTTCGTTGTCACCTTGAGAAGAGAGATTGCCAAAGAACTTGCGCAGTCGGGACTCCATAGAATAATCGTCATCTTTATCCTCTTCGTCATCTTCGTAATAGAGCTCTGCCAGGTCGAAAAGTCCGAGTGCTGGTGATCCCCATATCCTTTTTCGCTCCTTCCTCGTCAAGGAGAGCTTTAGATTGTCAACGACGTGGACTGTTGCAATATTCTCCGAAAAGGATACATTCAATGGTCGTTTGCTGCTTCTAGAATTGCGGAGGATGCTTCGGGTGCTGTTAATGTATTGGATGTTTATATTTGGTTTTGTGTCCACTCGTAATTGCAAGGAACTGCCGCTGCCGCTGGAGAAACTGGTGCTGTTTGTGTCGACACTTCCGTTACTGCAATCGCCGCAATCCTTGACGGGGTGCTTGCTCTCGTAGTGCTTGTCGGATGCAAACGATATAAAAATTTTATTCGGACAATTCGATGATTCCATTTCAATGTTGGTAGTTCGAAGTATGGATGTTGATACTGACGCTGTCATTACTGTATAGTTGTTGCTGTTTGCCTTTCGGTTCCTTTTGTTAGTAAGTTCGTTTGTTTTCTACTTTGGTCGTCGAATTGCCGTTAATCTGCGAAAGAGTGCAACGGATACAKTACTACAACTGCGAGGATATCTGTGTTCTTCAAAGGGCAGATTCGATGAGTCTCGATTGTGTTATTATGGGAGACTGAGGCCTCGATCCAAAATCACGTTTTGAAAGAAATTAGAAAATCTTCATGCATTTCGACGTTTTTGTATTGACTTAATCTATCCTCCCACCAGGGCCGCGGTGGGGTCGTAGTATTTTGATCCAAATATTGATCCAAATAAGTATTTTACTGTATGTAGTTTTGACACGAACGGCATTGAAGTTTCGAGCGGCGAACGTCTTGAAAACGAAGATTGAAGATGGTGATTTCCTATGAAAAAATTCGAAATGGGAATATTTTCTTAAATAAATTATTCTGCAGTTGTCGATTTTATTTTTTRGCTATTCATGAAGTGCACAYATTGTTGGTTCWWCAACAGAGTTTGTTAAATCTCATTATATCATTAAGCCCATAYACATGTACCGTCTTGCAACAGGCWCTACAARAGAAATTAAGGACACGCGCWAAAGGCRAGGCATATTATTCTTTGGTCGTAAACTCGATGTATCAGTCACTGTTCCAGGTTTCTCGGGTTTGAGATTCCTGGATTTTATTTGTCAGTTCCAACCTTTCTTATGGCAATCTGATTACGACATGAACAACTCACGGATAGACCTTGTAGGCCGCCGAAACGGCACCGGGTGTCGTTATTAAGTTTCTGGATTGAACGTATAGACCGCGCTAAAAGCCATCTTGTCTTCATCTTCCGATAATAACTTTGGTGAGTTGCCGGGGATACAAGTGATCCAGTGATCTGGCTTACGACAAGAATCTTGGGTTGGACAAATGAAATGATAACAGTGACAAAGCGTACATCGATTCTTCAAGTTGAATCGTTATCTTGTTACTTAGTGTGATCGTTACTCGAATTCCAACGTCGATCGAACGACAGTGCTRATAGGAGAAGACATCTTGGGTGCAACAACGCACAGATTGCCACAAAGCAACATTGAGAGAAAGACACGACAGTCGCGACTTGGATCGAATTCGTTGGCTTRATCGAACCGGTCGAATACTACTCCGTGATCTCGTTTCTGCAGCTTGCGCGTTTCCTGCATCGGTATTGCACATGCCGGTATCGTCCCCCTCCTCACTAAAAAGTATAGGTTGCAATGTCTGTCTCTTGATGGTTCCAACGCATCGGATCGATAGGTAGCGCACGAATTCAAAACATCACTAAACATTGCAGACTGCGAATGCTTCGCACAAAAATAGTGTTTTCGTGCTACAAGCCATAACCCACTAGCAAATGCCAGCCCACTCTCTGACCTACGGTAGCACTCCATTCGGATCCAAACTTTCTTTCTGCACCCGGCACGACCAGTAACAAACTATTGGGAACGGCTGAATTTTTTTCACAAGTTAGAGAGCAGCACGAACCCATTCTGGCCCGAGATTTGTTTTGMGCGTTCGATTCGAGCAGTGTGTGCTGCGCTTCGTTTGTTCCATCGACCCGGCCGTCCTCTTCGGACAACGATGGAGAGAACCGAATGGATCTAGGTGAGGTATGGTATGGCTCGGCGTAGTCGAGCGTGGTGCAGCTCCGGATGGTCGAGAATCGTTTCTCCGGAGCATGGAACACGTGCGAATCCAACACGGAGACAGGTGACACTTCTATGGATTCTCGGGGAATCGATCGCAGGCAGTGAAAGGCAAGGCAAGGCAATCAAATGCAATGMRATGCGACGCGATGGACACCTAGGCCACACACGAGCAGCTGCTGTTTCTTGATGATTGATAGTATGATGCACATACCGAATCTAGATCCCATAGTCATTTCCATGCATACGGTACACCTTAGTTCCTGGCCTCTTTTTCTTCTTTTTCCCGCCCATTTCCTGCGTGTCTATCCCGTACGACAGCGTCGGATTGCGTTGTCTTCCTTGCTTTTTTCCCTCAGAAGGACATCATGTCCGAGCGACCCGTCGTTTCCAACGGTGGTGGAAAGAAGCTGCGATTGACCTCCCTGTCATCATCATCGTCGTCGTCCGTGCGGGCTCGCCCTTGGTCCTTTCGTTCGGTCGTCGGCGAATGCAGCGCCCGGTCGGTATCCTTGCTGGCAGCATCGGGCGGGGGCGAATCCGCATCCGTCGGAGGAACCCCGGCTGCCGTCGTTCCCGCCCCGGCCGTTTCGTCCGCGCCCCGTGCCGGCGGCAACGAGTCCGACGAATCGCGCAGCACCCGGGACAGCCACCACCCGTACCACGCGATTGCGGAGCACTTTGCCAGCGTTCCGAGGGACGGGCCGGTGCCAATCCCGAAACCGCTCGCGGCGAGGCCCGAAGCCGCGCGGACCCTTCTCCCCCCCGCCATGAGCAAGAGCGTGGAACCCCCCCTCGACAGGGCCTCCAGGGGGCCCCTTGGTTTCCCGGAGGGGCCGGCGCCGAGAACCCCCCCGAGGGAGAGGACCGCCGCCCTCGCCGCCAGCACCAGGGCCACCGCCACCAGAGCGRCCGCACCGAGGGAGGCCACGCGCAAGAGTGCCGGTGGCCGGTGGCGCCCGCTGCACCGGCGGTTCGAGGGCCGCGGCGGGGCCGGCCGTTTTCTCCCCCGCGGGCCGCTTGCCGGAAGGATCCGGGAGCCAATGCCGTCGACGTCGTCGAGCAGGAAACCATCGTCCGGGGAGGGTTCTGCTGCTGCCGCCGCCGCCGCTGATGCCGGAGAGAAGCCGAGCCTGCCGAGCAACCGGTTCCACTTGCGGGGTTGTGGCGGTTGGTCGAGTTCTGGGTCATCCCGCCGTCGATTGGCCTTGTTCCCGCGATCGTCCCCGTTGTCATTGGTTTCGGGAACCATGCACAGACTGGTTCGGCTTCTGCAAATGCCGCTGCGAGGCTGGCGATGGCGATGGCGATTCGCGTTCCTTTGCATCGTCGGATGGGTCGAGGTACCTGCTGCACGCCCCCCCCCTTGTCTCAACGCCGGCGCTGGCGCTTGCGTGCGGATGTGCCACGGTGCTGCTCCGGCGGTGGTTCCGGAGCGAATCCCGGTGTGCGGCAACACCAGGGCGTTTGCCACGAACCAGCCGGAATCCTCCGTCGCCGCCAGCAGGAAGGCACACGCACCCAAGGACAAACTTTGTCTTTGTTTCGCTAGCGGGAACATCGTATCGATGAAACGGTGCCGTATGGTGGCAATGCTGTGGTGGGTTTTTGTTTGAAGCGGAAGGCGATTTTTTCGATGATGCGGCTTCGGAAAAGAGACGTCGCAGACGAAAGGGAGGAAAAGTGAAGGTTCGTTGAAGTCGCTCACCGAAGAAGAACAAAAATGCAGAATGCATCTGCTTCCGCCGGTGTCAAAGATTCTTCGTGATTTTTCTATCGAAATCACAACCTACAAAAAGCCTCGTAGTACGATACGATACGATACGATACGATACGATAGGAATTGTACCAAGCTAATGTACTACCTAACTCATAATGTAATGTACGCGTCGTACTACGTACGTATCGTGCGGAAGGGGGTCATACCGTATGTCGTGCGGTACGTACGTATGTTCCAATGCACCGATTTTCGGCTCGAACGAACGAAACGGCAGTGTTTGCGTGCCACCGGTTGACACCCGATGTGGCTATGTGGCATGCACTGGACCACTCTGACTCTGTTTCATTTTGATTGGAGGATTCCAAATTAGTCCCACCTTCGAAATTCTGAAAGGTGTCAACAACAAAAATGCGGTTTTGGAGAAGAAAACAAAAATCAAACCTTGTTGGTTCGTGTTCTGTTCGGTTCAGTGGTTCCTACGACAAAATGCTTGTACATGTATGTACGTGATACCGTAGCGTACGTACAAATAGGAATACTTTGTCGTTCACTCTCTCTTCAGCTCTCAGTGCGAAGTATACGTGGCTCCTTATAGTCGCATAATGCGGTGTTTATAATAAAGAGTGAGTTTATTCACTATCTATTCGTGATTTAGCCTCACACCACCCCGCACTTGCAGGATCTAAATTCCGGTACGTGGAAATCTACCATTACGTAGTAGATTTTGTAAGGGATTTAGATCGCAAGTGGAGCAGAGTATTGTATGTTTCAGGGGGGAGGAGGTTGTTGTGGTTGTGGCGTTTTCCTTGTTAAGGTGATATGTATGGTCTTTTGTTACAGTTGAGTAGGTAAAATCTGGTTTGATTCTTCCCATGAATACATCAGTGTGTTCTAGGAATTTGGTTCTTCCTGTTGGTTTGCTCAGTGAGTCACTGTAATTCTCATCAGATTTAGTTTCAATAAAGTTGATATGTTCATCATCAGTCCATTGTAAGATTACAAAGTGTTTCATTTCAACGTGTCGTGTACGTCTGGTTGGTTGGTGAGCATTGGCCATTCGTACGGCACCATGGTTGTCAGCTAGGATTGGTGTAGGTTTTGTTTGGGGAAGCTTCAGTTCCTCAAGTATCCAGCGTAGATAGAGAGCTGCTTTGCCTGCATCTGCCATATTCGTGAATTCGGCTTCAGTAGAGCTCTGTGCAATGGTTGGTTGAAGTCTCGTTCTATAATATACGGCTGCTCCGGCTAGCATCATTATAAC